CAATGGTTTATCCACCTCGTCTGCCGCCGCGCTGCGAGGCCTCGATTCGTTCGGTATGTGGATTCCTGAGCGGTCCTCCCCGGAGGCAAGGTGAAAGGTCATGGCCTGTATCATAAATTTATACGTTCCTGGAAATGTTTTACAGTTCTTCCAAGGCCTTGGACACCGTTTTATTATATCGGATAAGCTTTGCACTTTCTTGTCAATCAATACATTTAAAGAAAACTTAATCATAATCTCATACTGCGGCAATTGTAGTTCTGCTTACGGTTGCCTCTTTATGATACGGGCCACCACCACCTCCACTGCGCTGGAGCTCTGGCGTTCTACCCCTCCCCGCTACGGACCGGCCCTCGGGCTAGGTGTGTTAGTACTGAGCGCAAACGTGTAGTAGTCACGTGACTTTCATTCACGTAGCGGGAGCGGAAGCTATAGGCGACACCAAGGACGGGCTCTGGGGAGGCAACCGGCACAGAAAAATAGCACGATTGTAGTTTTAGAAGAATATCTGTTGCGGTAAGAGAAATTATACAAAACATACGTCCTAGGAGCAAACATGTGTTATTCCTCCATACTTTGCGCTACATTTCCTTTCTCCGATGGCCAGCACTTAGCAAATAATAGCACAATTCTGAATTGGTAATATATGTGTACAGTAGCAACTGCGGGTCCCTGTACCTACAATGAAGAGCTGGACAGACACCTAACCCCACATCCTACTGCTATACCCGTGCTTCTGTGGGTGAAGCACTGAAGCATCACGGAATCCCACAGGACCTGCGAGTCGAAGAGGTGGCCGCTTTGGCCGCCGGGTACTGCAGCTCCCTGGATCGTTGCCTGGGACCGATGGTAAAACAACAGCTCCGGCGGTGCCCCTATGGGCCGTAGTAATTAGTGAATTCCCGTAATGTAGAGATCATATCCTGAATAATATCCATTAAGATTTTATATTCTAAACAATATGACAGGCCAATTATGCTTGCCTACGTTCAGGCATTACCTCTGATGGTTATACGCCCAGTACAACATGTGTTCGGACGGGGTGATCTTTCTACAATGTACAGTCTGTCTTGAAAGTACCGCAGCATGGGCTGCGGCGGCCCGGCGAACTAAAGGTCGGGAGCTCGGTGGTTTGAGAGCCCCAGAGTGCACGTGACGGCAGTGAGCCAGGAGAGAGTGACCGGGCAGGTCGCGTGGGGTGCCGCTCTCCCTTACTCTTTCCACCCCGCTGCGGCGCCTGTCGCCCGGGGGCACGGGCCGTCTGCGAGCACGAGTGGAGAACTTGACCGGCCCGGCCGATCCCCCGGTGGCCGGTTCACCCTTGGAACCGTTTTATTCTCGACGAAAAGACAGACGAAGCCAATCTAAAGGCTGAGCGCGACTACTTGCATTGTTATCAGAACATGACACATATTCACTATGATTATGAACAATACTTTACGATCATGGAACGGAACAGAATAAATGTAATAAAACTGAAATAACAATGTAAATAACAACACAGAACAATGTCAACGCAGTAGTTTGTCGAAAATCTCAGATTAACTATGGGTTTAAATATGATCGATTGATCCAGTAACTTAGGATAAAGTAATTTGTTTCGTATTTATTTATGCGAGATAAAAAGTAAAAAAACTCCCATTCTCACCGCCCTTGTTGAGATTGAAACAAAATAGTATTTAAGCGAAAGCCAATGGAAGTAAGACGGAATGGTAACCTATTGCTCATAACTAAAGGAAGCCAAAGCAAATCCTACACTTGTGTGTTTTTGTCTTCCTTTAGTTATGTGCCAATGATTACTATTCCATCTTATTAGAAGTATAATCATTATCATGCAAAATAAAACACTATAGAAGGCAAATGGCTGCTACATAAAAAACATCACAAAATAACTAACACATTATACTCCTTATTTCCTATACATAAAACACCTTTTTGCACTCAAAATAGGCATCTTTTCATTCAATTTCGGCGAATTGCATTCAATTTTAGCGATCTCTCTATTCGAAGCAAATGAGAGATCGCTAAAATTGAATGCAATTCGCCGAAATTGAATGAAAAGATGCCTCTTTTGAGTGCAAAAAGGTGAAGTTACCGGCAAATATTTTCATTTTACGATCGGCTGGCCAAGCAATTGTTCGCAGCGCCTACTTCTAGGTAGAGGATTGATAATCGTATACCAAACACGGGGTATGCAGATTTATGCCGAAAGGTCACTGATATTATGGGTATTAACAGGTAGCGGCATATTAATCTTCAGTTCCTGAGTGCTCACTGTTCACTGTTCAGTTCAAGAATCAAGATGAGAGTTGAGATCATACGAGGCTGTATGGTGTGAATTTTATTCGTTTAATGATCTATCAAAGCTCCTCTCTCTCTCTTCTCTCTCTCTCTCTCTCTCTCTCTCTCTCTCTCTCTCTCTCTCTCTCTCTCTCTCTCTCTCTTTCCCTCTCTCTCTCTCTCTCCCTCTCCCTCCACAAGATGCTGAAAATTTTAGCGGACTCCAACAAATGTTGCAGAGTCTAAAATAGCTACCAAAAGCAGTCCGGAAGAGTTGCGTCAATCCCTGTACCGGCAAGTGATACGTTTATGCTTATGGCAGTGCACTGGTCCGGAGTCAGAGTCGGAGTCGGAGCCAATCAGCAGGCCGAAGTCAGATTTGGAGTTGCAGTCGGAACAGCGCCGTCGCGACTCAGAACCCTTTTTCTTTATATTTTCGGCTTCAAAGGAGCTGGCTAGATTTATTGCTTCACAAAGCAGACTCTCTGCACACTGCTGCGTTGGGGGGAAGGGGGGGCTGCAACGTCCCTCCACACATACCTGATATTGCATCTTTTTTAAACACTTTGATGGCGGAATGAATCAGACCCAGATCTTTTAAGGTCGGGTCGCTTAGGTTACTTTATAGTGTCCTAGCCTCAGGAAAAGTTATAATGCTCGTCGGCTCTAAAGAATGCTCGAGAGATCACCGGTTGACCTGAGATCTTAACCTTCACACTTACAGGAGGAGGTTCCTCACGGCTTTTTCACGAATAACTCGCGTAAAATACGACCGACCGACCGACCACGACAAAACTTTCAATATCCTCGAATTGATCAATGTTATATCTTTCCTGAAAATGACCCTGAACCCAATGGCCTTTGACCCCTAAATTCCTTCTCGACACCATGTCAGGCCAAAATGCCGATTCCATGCATGTCAGCGCATATTATCTACGCGTTTCCAGGCATTTCGTGATTGAAACATCAGGTCCCAGCACGTGAAATGATCAGGGCCGACCTGACCATTTCACATGTCCGATCAGGAGCCGAACGGCTGTAAGGCGGGTTCCTACGGACCATTTCTATCAGTGGACGCTATAAAGCAGCCAATACTCTCAATGTGTGTCTCGTAACCACGCACACAACTTTCTGGAAGCCCTTGCTGAATCTGAGCGAAACGACGGAGGCTGCACCCGCTGCCCTCTGGCCGGATTACAAGTGTGACACGTAAATGTCTGGCGAGGCTCGAAAGGGAAGCTTCACTTTCCATTTATCAAAACTTTCATGTCAGGAAGAGAATTACTACGCTTAGCTGGTGTCTCTGTATAACGTATTCATAAAACGGCGCCTTGTCTGCCGCACTGGCAGCATCGAGAGCCCGCTCACTCGCGCCCACCCCTCTCCTCCCTCCCTCCCCTCCCTTCCCCCCAAGGGTCAGGCGATCCAGTGGCCCTCAAACCTGACCGCCCTCCGCTGCGCCAGCCCACCAGCGCCACCCTGCCATGCTGCGGTACTTTCAAGACAGACTGTACGCACCATCCAGGCCTAGGATGCATCGAGGTTTAAAAGAATGCAGTCTGTAGATCAATCAACATAACAATTGTGGTATGCAACCACATTAAAATATCTCCCCCGCTTCCAACGCCCCTCCGTTATGCATTCGCCTTATGTGTCCGCCGAGCCGGCTTGCCTCCAATGACGTCATCGGCCGGCCGGCGGCGTTCAAGGTCAAACGGCTGGTGTCCTTACCTGGAGTTCTATAGCCTTGAATCATCGTTTGACTCCAGCTCGATCAAACGCAGCATCCGGTTTCTACAGGGGCGTTTGACTGACCGGCCACACAATAACCAAAACAAAATCAAAGCTTCATGCACACATATGACATAAGTAAGAAACGGATGAAAAAGGCACAACCACGGCACAACTCTGCGCGGCAAACAACGGACAATGTCCCACGCAAGATCCCGCGTTTCTTCAGCGGCCTTGAACGGAATGAAAACATTACATTTCTTTTTTGGAGCTATTTGATGACGTCAAAAAATACAATACCCGTTTTAATGGTCAAAATCGAGACAATTACTCACAAAAATGTTTCCCTTTAAGCATTACAAATAAATACTTTTAAATATTTAAATGACATTGTTTTTTTCAAACAAATCAATATTATTTGCTTACTTAAACGTCATATACAATGCTGAGATCACTACGGGGCTGTCTTAGAGTGTAGCTGCACTGGCAACCTTTAGGCTAGACTCCAGGGGTCATTATACCAGAACAACATGATTCTATCAGCCAGTAATTCATTTCTCTACTAGATTGGTGCTACGCTCAGCATTTAGGTGCCAGATTCAGAAAAAAGAGTAAGGCGTACCGATGAATAGGTGCCAGAAACAGCTAATTAAGGTCATTTTCCATGATTGGTGCTGGTATCCACCAAATAGGTGCTGAGGACCAATTTTGGGGCGAGTCAGCTTTTAGGTGCCAGAAATAGCTTTTCTGGGACGCAATTAAATGGCGTCCGTTTGGTATGCACATTGTACGTACATACCACATCATGGTGTATCACCCCACAAAGGTCGACAAGATCAGAGTCGTTTTCGATTTGCGGCCAAGTACGATGACCTATCCCTGAACGACGTGCCGCTTCAGGGTCCTGATCAAACCAACTCCCTGTTCGGCGTTCTTGTAACCGTAACCCGTGTGTTACAACTAAGGTGGCTCATCCTCCAGCACCAGTAGACTGCTACATGTCGTAGTATTTACATGATTTTGGAATCTCACATTTAGCACCTAACGGATACTAAACATAATTAACAGCTCGCAGTAACAAGATCGAATCATAAAATGCAATACATAATAGATTGAGACTGTCGCATATCTTCAACCGTGTGCATATTCAACTAATAACATTTTAACAACTAGCAACTGTATTGCAAGAATGCGAACGCATAATCTGAGATCATGACAAGCTGTCTAGAGCATCAACGGTCTATAAGCTAAAAATGTGAACATCTGACTACTTGGCTACGACTGTGACCGTTGTATTTCCATGGGCACCTTGCGGTCGCGCCATCTGCCGTTCTATCCAATCCAGGTAGCTGGAGACGCGGGTGTAGAGACTGCCGAAGGCCGGGTTGCCGCAGCCCATGCCAAGAGACACGACGCCGACAGCCGTGTAGGTGCCGTCGGTCGCGCGCGCCACCAGCGGGCCGCCCGAGTCGCCCCGGCACGAGTCCTGGTGGCCGGCCGTGGTGTCGAGCGCGCAGATCAGCCGCGAGCCCAGGCCGCCCGGGTAGTTGTCCTCGAAGCCGGGCACGCGGCGGTAGGCGCGCTCGCACTCGCCGGTGGGCCGCACCTGCTGCACTGCTTCGCGCAGGTGGTCCGACCGCGGCTCGGAGTACTGCACGCGGCCCCAGCCGGCCACCACCACATCGTCCCCGACGGCTGGGTCGTCGGCCGCCGACGACGGCAGGCAGACGGGCTGCACGTGCGCCGAGAGCCGCGCCGGCTCTGCCAGAGTCAGCAGCGCCAGGTCTTGTTGGTGGCCGCGCCGGCCGGCCGGCACGGCGGCGTGCGCCACCAGCACGTCTTGGTGCCGGCCGTCGGCCGTCTCGGTCAGGTCGTGCTCGCCCAGGCGCACTGTGAGTGGAGCGCCGGCGCGCTCCACGCAGTGCGCTGCCGTCAGCACGTGGCGCTGGCTGATGAGGGCGCCGCCGCAGCGCCAGCGGTGCCGACCGGAGCCGGTCGACTCGCGCCAGCCGAGCAGCGCCATCCACGGCCACCGCCCGGGCGCCGAGCGCCGGCCGAAGGCGATGTTGCGAGCCAGAGTGGGCGGGGTGCCGGGCCGGCCGCAGGTCCTGGTGGTGGTGGTGTCACCACTGCTGGTGGTCTCCGTCGGACAGCAGACCTTCAGCTCATGCTGCACCATGGCGCACGGCTTCACACAGTCGGGCAGCTGCGGACCCGAGAGCGCCTCACACGAGCTCGGGTACATGCAGCGCCCCTGGCGGCCGTCGGACAAAACACACTCACTGGAGCGGCGCACCAGTTCGGTCACGGAGCCGAAAAAAATCTGCGATGAGGCGCCGCAGCTGGCCGCCAGAGCCGCCCACGTCAGCGCCACGAGCATGGTCCGGGTGGTGTGGGGCCGACGGAACGACTGGCCGACCGACCGTACCCGCGCCGCTTTTGAGCCGGTCATGACGTCACCAGGTGTCCGGCGAACCGGCCTGGGAGGCCCGCCGCTCTCCTGATGACGTCACTATTGCGGTGTATGACGTCATGTTGTTTCCCAGTGACTGGCCTCAGCGGCTGTCATCCTCACCTGCAGCGGAAGGTGTAAAGTGACAGGTGGCCGCAGGCGAGTATGCGTAAAGCTAATTTATTCAGCAGTTACTTGTTAAGCCGTCCGTTTTATTATGTAAAGCATGAGTCAAATATGTGTGTCGTGATGTTATAACTCAGTTATGTGCAGGAGCGGCGGAAGTATGTGGTCTTGACCGCCCTTAACGGCAGGTAAGAAAACGTACTTCTGTCTTAGGTCAGATGCGCCATCATAACCAGGTGCAATGGCCTCCAGATCCGAGAACTGTGACACGGCCCGAGTACTGCGAAGTCGGGTCGACCTCTGACGGCGTCTTCCACGGCCAGTTACCTCTGCCAGCCAGCACACTGTAACAGTGAAGCAGGTTATAGCCGACTGACGAAGCAAACGTGACCGCAAACATGGCCGCGAGTGGCGAACATGCGAAATAAAGCCCCCTGATGTGCAGGATCCTCTATGAACTCTCGCCAGTTTTCGCCTTTTTATATCGGCTTTACCGCATAGGTATGGGAGCTTGCGGCTAGTATGTAGCGGCTGATCACAAATAAGCTCGGAAAGGCGCTTTCACAAATCTGCGCCACCATGCGTCAAATCACCATTCTGCCCTGGCATGGTCATGACTCATGAGTCATTTGTGAAGCAGAGGGGTGGGGGAGCCCCTTCCGACCTCCCTGTAAGTGCGAAGGTGAAAAGTGATAATGTAGCGTGGGCAGATGCGGCACGTTCTCCCGGGTTCTCCCGGGTCCAGCGATGCCCTCTATGTAAAATGCATAGGCAGTCACCAGCTAATCGAGATAACGAATGCCTTCCGGCCACGGACTCATTGCTGCGGAGTCAGGAGACTAACGCCGTATTCACTAGGCCACACTGAATTATTATTCCAGGCTTATTCCTTTCTCTTTTGACATGTGCAAAGGTTGGATTTTAACCCGCGCGCCGACGGTGTCCGCGCCAACTTCGCACCGACGGGGGGGGGGGGGGGGTGCGGACAAGTGCTCCCCCTGACATCTTGAGAACGAACCAAGATAGCGACAGCATTAGGACAAGGTCTGCAATTTTTACTGAGATCATTTTTAGGTCAGGTCAAAGATGACTTGACGGGGATAAAAAAGTAGAATAAGTGGCGCTAGATATGAGTTTTTCTCTAAACATTTTCGAAATAGCCACGTTAGGAACAAACTAAGAGCACCATCGTGATCCTCTCGTCAATCCGCATCGAAACAAATAGGTGTTGATCTCGAAAGGTCAAGGTCAAACATTGACCTAACGTCACGTGACCTCAAGGTCATTACGTATGTAATTCGATGCGCCTTGATGAGTTCAACACAATGAGACTATCTGCGCGGCTGTATATTGCTCCTGTAAGGAGTTAATAACCCGCGCCCCAGTGGCAGTCTCAGCCAACTTCGCCCTAGGGGGGGGGGGGGGGGGCATATGTTACCACCCACCTCCAAAAACTCAAAAACTAAGAGGGCTAGAAAGACGCGGTAAAAAAACAGTCAATAGCTCTTGATGCGTACGTTTTAGAGTATTTCAGTCAGTCATTTTTCATCTTAGAGCAATATTGGGGTCACCGGAGGTCATCAAAGGTCAAAATTTGCCAAATGTCATTATATTTTTTAGAAAACATGCATTTATCTCAGGAACTATGATAGCTAGAAAAACGCATGGAATCGCAATCGATAGGTTTTGAACTCTTCTTTTGATAAGGTCATCATCAAAATTGACCTCAGGTCAACGGTTTAGCCTCCAGAGGGCAAAAACTCCAAAATAGCCGTTTTTACGAAGTGTTTTTCGACAATAACTTTTGACTTAAAAAAGCCACATTTTTATTGCCAGAATCGTGTTCCTCTCGCCGAGACGCGTCGAAAGAACCATAATTTGACCTTGAAAGGTCAACTTGAAAATTTGACCTCAGGTCAAGGTACCTGACCGGAAAAGGTCATGATGCATATCAATCGATGCGTCTCAACAAGACAAACACAATTGTGTATTGAAATATACCGTCCACAGGTGCACCCCATTTACAGACGGAGTCACAAGCATAAATATACGTCACATTTTCACACACCTACCTATGTGTAACTAGCACATGCATAAATAAGGTTACAGGCTCGATACGAATGCCTTCACCTGACTTCTAAACGCCGCCCGGGATCCGAACAGGTCAGCAGTGGGCCGTTTCTCACATAGACTGTTCACAGCTCGTGGCAAGCGACAGAACAAACCGTTTCTGATTGTGTCAACCCTTGCTGCAGGCACATACAGCAAGGGTTGACACAATGAGGTCATCCCCAGCGTCCTATCTCTTTCCAATCGAGAGTTATTGGCGAAAATCTGTTTGTAGCCTCAAATGACCTCAGGTGACCTTTCTAGAGGCTATCAGCAAAAAAGACGCCTTGGTCGTCACAAGCGGTCCAAATCATTGTTATTCTGAAATATTTGGACTGTTCCTATGCGTACACACGGATCTAGAGGCATTTTCATTTTTATCCATTGACATAATGGTAAGGTCACCTCACTGGCCTGACCTTAGGTCACGGATATAAAAAATCCGAGATATACAAATTATAGGCGCCCGTAACATCATGCAATCCATCAAGTTTAAAACCTTTCTGACAAATACTGCAGGCTGGACATGATTGCAAACTTTTTTAGGCTTGGTCAGTTAACTTGACCTGGTGACCTGACCTTACATGACCTGGAGTCAAAAATTTCACACATTGTTAAAAATTGATGTTCAAAAAGCTACTCCAAGCGGCGCGGCGCTACGCGCCGCGGTTTTTTTTATTCACACGTAAAAAACGCGACAGGGTGGTAACATATGCCCCCACTGGGGCGAAAGTTAACAACAATCTTTGGAGATCTTAAAATTCCGAGAAATAAAAATTGCAGCTACCAGTAACCGCATTGCATCTTGCAACTTTCAAAGGACTCCGTCTTCTACTATAGCTCTGACACGGTGACAAAGTTGCAAAAAAGTTATTTCAGTCGAAGTGACCTGGTGACCTGACATTGAAAGGTAGGAGGTTCAAAGTTGCACACCATGTGTAAAAGTGATGAGGGAATAGTCGTGCCAAATTTCAGCACCGCGATTTTCCGCTGTTTACGAAAAACCTGAGGGGGCTGGGGCGGATACCCGCCCCCCCCGTCGGTGCGCAGGATCTAGGCAAGAAATCTAGGCAGTGATTGCATTTCCGAATCCTAAACGGGACTTTTTTTGAAGGTGAGATAGTCCCTTTAACACTTTTCATTCAGTTCCACACTGATTCTCGAATTTTGACCGAAAAAAAGTTATAGTCTGTTTTTCGTATCTTCTACCTTCACTCCAAGATGTTGATCTCATTAACCACGTGCTCCAACGAACATATGATTAAAATCAAGTCTGCATGAAAGAAAGTTTTACCTAGCGGAAGATCCAGCTGTTGCCACTAGCTGGACTGCTACAACCCCCTGACCAGTTTTGGCCAGCCAGCAGATACAGCGCAATAGGAAGACTGGCGACCGCCACCAGGATTAAACTACTTACTGGGCATTCCTGGGTGGCGGGAGGAATAGTCAGGCGACACAAAAAGGAACAGGGCATCTGTCCTCTATGTAAAGATGGGCTTGAGACACTGGAACACTTTCTCTATGAATGTATCGAGCTACTACAAGCAAGGGAAGAGGTACAGAAGAGAAGTGGAGCAGTTCTACCGAGAAGCCACAGCGCAGAGGAACTAATACTGGAAGCTAGCCCACAGGTCAGCTGGATGATTCATCTGCTGTACAGGATGAGAGTGCAGGCAGAAATCAGTGAAGCAGCAGGACATCCTTAAGCCCATCCTTCTATGACCATCCCTCGATTTTCTGGCGCCTGTGACGTAGTGTTAAAGTGTAACTGATGAAAGGCTAAGCATTGCATCCACTGGATGGAGCCGACCACACAAGAAGAAGAAGATCAGGGCCTTGCTTTTATCAAACAACGGATTTTACGCTTATCTCTGTTTATCGAGTGGAATGATTGAGATAATTGAGGTGATTTTTTGTAGATATTTATGAACATGTTTATATTCGCTTTGTAATCTTTTTTTTTCTTTTTTCATTATGTTTTCCAAACATCAGAGGGGAAAGGGTCTCGGCTCGCAGGCAAGACAAGTTGTTCGGAACGTTTACTGCTACTTTTCTAAACAAAAGGAAACTCAACTGAAACGAGGCGATGAAGAGGCTGCGAAACAGCTGAATGTCGCTAGGGAAGCAAGCTTAGCCACTGGAGTGTCGGAATGGACGGTGAAGATGGTGAGGAAAAATACCGAAGACGGTGGCTGCGCATCTCCACTCCGAAAGAGACCCAGCAGAGCAAAAGGCCAGTGGTTTGATGATTTTGAAAGATGTGCTCTGAGAAGAATCGTGCACAACATGTACCTGAATGGGGAAAATGTTACCCTAGACACCTTGACTGCGTCAGTGCAAACTCAGATGGAGAAAACAATATCACGTTCTTCGCTCCGCAAAGAGCTGCTGCGGATCGGATTCAAGTTCCGAAAAGTAAACAACCGCAAACTTCTCACAGAAAAACCTCAAGTAACAGCGGCTCGGAACATCTTCATCCGTCGCATTCTTAAAATCAGGCAGCAGGCACCAGATCGGTCAATAATATACCTTGATGAGACGTGGTATAACCAATATGACATGAAGACAGTGGCATGGCTGGACGACAGCGAGGTCAGCGGACAAAAAACAGCAATTGGAAAGGGCAAACGGCTGATTCTCGTCCACGCTGGCTCAGAAGACGGCTTCATATCTCAAGCATATATGTGCCTGAGGACAGACGGGAAATCTGCCGACTACCATACGTCGATGAACGCGGAGTGCTTCGAGGAGTGGTTCAGAGGGCGGTTGTTACCCAACATACCCAACATACCCAACATACCACCTCACAGCGTAATCGTTATGGATAACGCATCGTATCACTCGAGAAACGCAAGAAAAGTCCCAACTCCCAACAACGAGCTGGCGGAAGGCGGCGATCCAAGGCTGACGGGACAGGACATTCCATTCGAAC